AAATTTTCTGTAAACCAAGTACAAACATGTGCATTCATGGAAGAGCAATTATCTATTGTGACCCTCAATGTTAGAGGCCTCAGGGACTACAACAAGAGAAAGAAAATTTCTAATTGGCTGAAAGAAAAACACTTTGATATACTAGTAGCATATTTGCAAGAAACACATAGCACCTCGGCAGATGAGATTTTCTGGTCTTCTCAATTTAAGGGGAAATATAGTTATTCACATGGAACTACCACCAGCAGAGGAGTGATGACTATAATTAGAAATACTGATAAAGTTAAACTAACACAGGATACGGATGGGAGAATCTTAATGATTCAAACTGAAATTGATAACTCTCAATGTATTCTACTAAACATGTATGCACCCAATAGAAAATCACAACATGCTGAATTCTTAACTGATTTTAAAAATTAGGTTAACTAATATGATCCCAGATCCAAACAGTACGATAATCTGGGGGGGGGGGGGTGATCTGAATTTTACAGTGGATAACTTGGACAAATCAGGAGGGAACCCCCAAGCCTGGACTAAATCGGTAGACATGTTTGAGGATATCACTGAACAATTTAGCTTAGTTGGCGAATAAGAAATGAGAACAAAAAACAGTTTACTTGGCGTAGAAAACGCCCTACTATTCAACAAAGCAGACTGGACTATCTAATAATCTCAGATGTTTTGCAAACGATTGTTAAAAAAGTTGAAATTATACCAGGTTTAGCTTCGGATCACTTCGCTGTTTGGCTACATTTAAAAAATTCTTGTCAGAAACATGGTCCTGCTCACTGGACATTCAACTCCACTCGAACCAAAGATAAAGAGTATGGAAACTTAATAAAGGAAAAGATTGAAAACTGGCAGGAAGAATTTAAAGATATAGATAGAAGTCAGTTATGGGACTTAAATACCAGATTAAAAAACTTGCAATTGATTACACTAAAGAAAAAGCAAGAAACCGTAAACAGGAAATTGAGGACTTGGAAAAACAGCTTAGATACTCAACAGATGTGTAGTGACAGCCCAAATGAGGAAAATTATAGCAATATGGAAGAAATGAAAAGGAAACTAGAAGACCATTATAATTATAAGGTAGAAAGTGCTATAATAAGATCATGGGCAAGGTGGTATATTTTCTGAATTTGGAAAAAAACAGAAAGAAATCCTGCATCAAACAATTAAAAGTAGAAGGGGATAAAACTATAGAACAACCAAATGAAATTTTAACAGAAATAAAATCCTTTTACTCTAGGCTTTGCTCAAATAAGGATTCGATGGAGGCCACTAAATTTCTTAATAATACTGCAATTCCAGTGCTGGCAGAAAGTTCACAGGCGAGGGACTTCTAACTTCAAGGGAAATTTTTGATACATTAACTTCAATGAAAGAAAATAAAAGCCCAGGAAACGATGGCTTAACGGTTGAGTTTTATAAGGCATATTGGCCACTGGTAAGAAATCTGGTAGTGAACTCATTAAACTTGGCCTTTGAGCAGGCAGAATTTTGACCTCTCAGAAACAAAGTATCATTACACTATAGAAAAACCTGGACGAGATAAATGTTTATTGAAAAACTGGAGGCCAATTTCATTAATGAACGTGGATGCAAAATTGGCATCCAAATGTCTTGCTAAGCGATTGGAATCTGTTCTCCCTGAATTAATTGGCGAAACCCAGGCAGCTTTTGTTAAAGGCCGCAATATTAGTGATTATGCAAGATTAATTAGTGAGGTGTATCACTACATAGAACAAACTGGTAAGGAGGCTCTGCTAATAGCAGTAGATTTTGAAAAGGCCTTTGATACGG